TGCTTATACTTTTTCTTTTTCTTGTCCCTTTATGAAAGAGTTGTGCACTTCAACACAATTTATTACTGATGTGTATACACTCCTGCCAAGGAGTATGGAATGATATAATGCAATTTCTTCCGTTGTAAGTATTACAGGTCTGAAAAAAAAAAACTGTTTTCTTATATCTATCCAAGTATATAATCTATACTAGTTAGAGAATTTGCAGATTTAGATGAATTAAAAAGAATGCCTTTAACCCAAACAATGTGGTGCTGTATTTATCATCAAAGAGAGAGATTATCAAAGAGATACCATGGGAGAGCAGGTATGCAAGTACTCCATGCTCAGCTGGGTTTCTGAAGGTGTCTTTGGTGCTAAACAATGATCAAGACTATGCAATCTAGCCACCCTCGTTTTGGGTAGGGGTGTCGAGGACTTCTGGCACCACCACGATGGTTCAGTGAGACCGGGGGATTGACACAACTAGCTCGTGTTCCTCAAAGCTAACGTGGGAGCTCAGAAAAACTGTGTCCAGATGGACGATTGATAACTACCTCTGCAAAAGTTCTGAGTTATAAGAAGGGCTGCTATCATGTCTTTTGTCACATTCTTGGAATTAAGGGGTAGGGGTGGGAAGGGACAGGTGTTAAAGGGTTTGGTGAAATGGGAAAGGAGATGGGGGACTTGTACATATACACATATATACATATACATGGTTTTCTTGTACCCCTACTCTAGAGAGCAGCTTGCATCAACGATCAGAAGCTGGCATGACTAACCCACAACATCACAGAACGCTAAGGATCTGAGCGAAAGACGAGGTACTCCCCCAAGCTCTAAGTGGAACCATCAGTACTAAAAACATGATGGTCTTTGGCTTCAAAGACCTTTCAGTTCCTACATATATATATATATATATACTGATTCAGCATTATGGAAAACCTAGAGAATAAAGGTGTCAATATATATTAAGTTATACAGAACTATTCCAGACCAATGATATAGGAGTCTACATGCAAGTATAAAAAATATCAATTATTATTCTTGTTTTTTTTTCTTTCCCATCGTCCCAGGTACCGACTGAAGTGTCGGTGAATCAAAATGCAGATACAATATTAAGTGCTGCAAGATGCCTGGACAAAGCTGGGCATCTTCTTGGTAATAAGGAAGGAAAAAAAAAATTAAATAAAGATTATAATTAGACTACTTCTGTCTTGACCTGATGATGCCAAATGCTTGCAGGTCTGACATGTTTTACTTGCACAAGTTTGTGCTTGCTGTTGCCTAACTCACTCACTGTTCCTTTACCTCCACATACACCTATTGCCCATGCCCTAAAAGTGCTAAATAAAAAAATCCAATCCAATTACAGATGCTAATAAACAAATGACTTGGTATGCTGAAAATGCAACATCCACGGAATCTTCTCACAATCAAAATATACACGAAATGTACACTGCACAAAATGTACAATCTCTCCAAGTTCCTCCTTTTGGCAAGGCAGCAAGCGAGAGGGCTGGGCTCAAGTGCAGAGTTGCTGAGTGTTTTGATGGCTGCTGCTTAAAGGTGGACACAGAAAGGAAGATGCTGACCAGTGACCTCAGCTTGATTCTGCTTCCATCATGCCCGTTCTCTGCCAAGCACTCTGGCTCGTGCTTTCCTGGTAGGTTGAAGTAGCTGTCAGAATAGAAAGAACCTGGGACCTCCCCCCTCCCTGCCCAAGGCAAAGGGGGGCCAGGGGAGGGAAGGGGGGGCACTCCCACATCTCCCTTTTTATTTCTTTTTAAAAAGTCTTCTCTACATCAGGTCCTTGCCCCTGCCCACTGTCATCCAAGGGGGTGGGGTGAAGGAGGGGAGGGGAGGGGCTCCTCACGGATTAGCAACATCCTCCTCCCTGGCCTCCTGCGGCGCCCTGGTTGCCCGCCAACCCTGCTCCACTGGGGGAATGCTGGGGTCCGATTTTGATACCGTTAGCCTTCAGGAGAAAGAGAGAGAACATTGAGTAAACTATGGAGATACAGTGTGAAAATGGGTTCTTATGAATATAATTATTTCTATTACAAACAGGATAAATAAAAAAGAACATAACCCCTTACATACACATAGTTTTCTAACCTCTTCTTTACTAACCCAAAACCCAAAAAGTTCTAAAATGGGCACAGCATTTTCCTGGCACATTTCTTCACTTACCTCATTATGAACGTCAAACACGCCTTCCTGGATCTTTTCATAGATTTCCCTTGCTGTGTTGATGAAGGCTTCCTCCACATTGGCGGCGGTCTTGGCTGATGTTTCCATGAAAACAAGGCCGTGCTCACGTGCAAATGCCTCTCCCTCCTCTCGCTTCACCTCTCGCCGTGACTCCAGGTCACTGCCAGAGAGAGGGTGGTGTTATTGATGTAGATAAGAGGGCGGACAATATTGTTAATGGTAGGTGTGGTATAGGAACAGAAATGGGAAGAAAAAGGAGAAATAAAAGATGAGGAGCTCAATTTATCAGTACAGTTATAACATACTT